TCCTCTCTTCTAGACTCTCTCTCCTCCATGGCCCCTCTTAGTTGCTTGAAGAATCAACAAAGGAAGATGCAAAACGGAACGGGCATGTGGAGAGATGATCAACAAGGGGTGATAGATTGGCTTTTCCCCTCTGTTTTTCTAGCTGTTGGTCCAAGAGGAAACCCTAGGTGAGTATCCACACCTACATGCAGTAGATAAAATCTAGGCGCACACTTCTTTCTAGTTAGTTTTTATATTTGTTAGTGTAGTTTCAAGTTAAAGCCCTAGGTAAAACTTTTAAGTGACCAAATTCACCATCCTCTCTTAGGTCACACATGAACATTTTCTAGGACCATCGATTCCTCTAGAGCACAACCTACCATTTGAGAATGTTTAATGCCCGAAATTCTCATTCAACCTTCAATTAAACGTTTATTAATACCAGTGTTCGCCTAAACGGACTAAACGGCCAATTAAACGGCCACTAAATGGTAAACGATGGTAAACTATTTTGTTTTGGGGGTAAACGGAAATTAAACGGTTGACCATTTAAATGGTCAAAAAAACAGAAAAAACGGTCTAAACGGCCTAAACAGAACGGAGATAAACAGTATTAAACGGGCTAAATAGCTGTTTAAACGGTTGTTTAGGCGAACACGAGTTAAATCTAGTTCAGTTTTTTATGGATAAATTTGTATATTTAAGTTTATTATATTTATAAATGTGTACACTTGATATGTTACATGCATAAATATCTATATTTGGTTCTTTTCACATGCATAAATATATATACATACCAAAATAATTGATTTTTACTCGGATAAATATGTATAAAGGCTAGAATACTTGATTTTTTTACATGCACATATATAATTATATGTATTTTTTTAAGTACAAAACCGTTTAGACCGTTTAACTTCGTTTAAACACCGTATAAACAGCCTAAACGCTAAACGAAGGGCGACCGTCTAAAGACCGTTTACCGTTTAGGAAAACATTGATTAATACTAGAACTAGCAATATGCCTAGAAGCTAAAAGAGACTGGGTTGCCTTCCTTCAAATGTATCAAAAAATTTTATCAGGGCATAAATGAATAAAGATTGAGCTAAGACATTCAACACTTAGAAGGGAAACAAACTCATTTCATATAAACATCTAAAAATGTATCAAAATTTTATCAGGACATAAATGAATAAAGATTGAGCTAAGACATTCAACACTTAGAAGATAAACAATCTCATTTCATATAAACATCTAGAAGTCACATGTGCAACATGCTGGTCATTGAAATGCCAAAGTTAAGTTCTTCAAAGGACTCAGTTGCTACCAAATTATGATTGAGCTATCTCTTTTATGAAGTTATCAGTTGCTAACCAAGCTTACTTTCTTGCATTAATGTTATATCATTATTGCATGGATCGGTACCTTTCTTTTCATTAGGAAGTTGTTCTTGAAGGAGCGAAAATTGCTTCATGTCTTTTCCCACTGGGAGTCACCATCTAACATTTTATGAATTGCCCCTTGGTAAGAAGTAAGATGCTACCTTGTTTTAGTTTTGTTTTTTTATAAAGGTAGCATCTTTCCCTTGTCAAATTTAACTAGAGATCAGTTCATTCAAGTTGCAATTGAGCCTTGATAAAGTCAATGGTATAATTAATTGAAGAAACCACTACAGGCTGAGAGCGAGGGAGAAGCAAAGAGCAGAGGATCAGAAAAATGGCATGTAATGTTATAGGTCTCCAGCCGCATCGTCTTTTTTTATCAAGGCTGAAGTGATATACATGCACCATTTCCTTCCCTTTTGTCGTGACTGGCATATGTGCCTATGATCCTTAATTACTTGTTGAAATTGATATATCTTGTCTCTTTTTTGTTTACATGGGATACAAATTGTTTCCTGAAAGGTATGCTTTTCCTTCATGTCAAGAATAGTGCAGTACATCCAAGCTTCGAACCCTCTTCATGCTAATGGTTTTAGTTATAGCATCAACCATTATATAACTAAATAGGCAAGGTAGTTTTTTCAAATATGATCATTTAAATTAAAGCGAGACCAATAAATCGGCCAAAGGAACAAGCCGTCTTCATGTCAACCAGTTACAACCACACTCCAAATTTTAGATGGGTGAACACATGCAACAACTTTAACTATTACACATTAGGCACTAAAATATATGAATATGCTTGACATGGTATATATCTGCACAGGCATAACTTAATATTTAAATTTATATGTCTCATATTACAAGTAGTAAATAAATAACATATATACTTAAGTAGGTACGTTGTATTTAAGAAACTAGAGATATCATAGTGCAATGTCTTTGAAAACATGATGGATAACTCAAGGCAAGGTATAATTGTAGGTTTTTCAATTCTGAATGGTCTCGAGGAGATTAGAGCATGAGATATGATCGGGTTATTAGGCTAGATAGCATTAAGAGGGCATTGTTATTTACTTGACGTTTCTTTAGTTCCACTTTGCTCAAATGATTGCATTGCATTGTATGCATATGAATGACTGGGGTCTAAAATTGCGAAATTATAATAAATCATTGTAAAATGTTTAAAAAAAGACTAACTCAGATTTAATTGGGGACTATCCACCCCTGATAGGGAGGATAGTCTTTGACTTAGCCAATTATAAAAAAAGAGCTTTATACCATGATGAAAGGGTGTCGCAGACAGTTCGACGGTCACTTGCCAGTCTTGTCCAGCAACAACTATTGGTTCTGGTGTGTGCTGTGAAAGTATCTACAAACGATCTAGCCAGGGGGCGCTGATGGTCCACAGGTATCTATATCCCATAAAGCAAAACCAAAAGTCTGATTCTGTTAATTAGTGCTAACAATTGAGCCACAGATGGCAATCCCAAGGGAAATCAGTCGACGAGTATGAGTTGTGACCTGTGCAAAATTGGGACAGATTTTGGATAGCGACAAAGTTTGAACAACAGACTATCCACATCCCAGGGGGTGGATGGTCCGCGTGGTGGTGCATTGTCTAGAAGTTCCCATTTCTATAGAATGTTAGAGTTGCTGAGGTGGCACAATTTCTCGTACTACGGACGGTTCGAGCTCTGTACCATGAATGGTCCAACAGTCAGGTTTTTTTTTTTGCAAATTGGTCCAACAGTCACTGTCAACTCTAATAGACATTTAACATGAATATAGTTGTTGGTTTGAACAGTGGGCCAACTGGGTTTTGTATTACGGATGGCCCGTGAAATCATTGTTTTCACAAGAAAGGCTTTGCAAAGGCTAGTAACCGAGTGGGCGATATATATACACTTCACTTGGCCATGAGGGAGGTCTCTTCACACTTGGCAAGCTTCTATGACATATTTGAGCCTCTTTCACCTCTCTCTCATACACATTGCTTAGAGATAGCATTCTTGTGAGATTGAGAGCATCCTAGTGCATTCAAGTGTTTGAGCTTTGTGGCACTAGGGAGTCTTCACGTAAGTGTCATTGCCTTGTTACTCTTGGAGATTGTTATCTCCTAAATAGCTTAGAGATTGTGGATCCATGGAGCACATCAAAAAGATTGTGAAGGTGCCCCGGTTGTTCTTGTGAGAGCCTTTGTGCTCTCCATGCAAGAGTGGTGAAGAGCAACTCTAGTGGAATCGAGGTGCAGAGTGGTTATTTGTTTCTAATGGCTCAATATCAAGTGGTGCCTCAAAAGAGGAGCGGTTGAACATTGGATCCACCTCAATGTGAACTACGATGACTGGCAAGTCATTGATATCGCAGAATAAAATCCTTGTCACATGTTCGGTTATTTCTTGAGCTCAATTTACATTGAGCACTTTACATCTTAGAAATTGAATTGTTGCATATCAACCTAGGTTGCAAACCTACACCTAGTGATCATAGTGTATAAATAGGGGGCTCTCTTGTGTTATGAATCAACACTTTCTAGTATTATGTTTTTTTATTTGAAACCACCTATTCAACACCCCCCTGCCCCCCCTCTAGTCAGTATCCTTGATCCTACGGTAGAGCAACCTACTGAGAAAATGAGAAATTACCAAAATCATCAGCTAGAATTATTAGACCATATTTGTATAAGTTGTAAATGTCCATTGCACCAGATGAATTTTAATTTTCTCACGCTCATACTATATTAGAAATTAGAAATAAAGGCAAAATAGTAAATGCATTATCACAAGGAAAGATATGCATATATATAGGATTTGAATATCTCACAATTATTTATGTATAGCAACACACTAATTAAAAGGTATAAACCATGTGTCTACTATCAGCATCGTAGTTATGGCACTTCATCACCACTGACAATGCATGGAGTCAACTGATAGTAGCGAAACCAGACATGAGTTCTTACCAACCTGTGTGCTCAAGAATATAATATCAATAAAAAATAAAGTATGACCATGCAAAAAATAAAGTATGACTATGCAAATCTCATTATTAGCATGCTAAGCACACGACACTATCTGGAAGCGCTGCACTAGGGTTTGTCCTCATGTGTACTCTAAGTCCACTCTTCAAATCACTCTTAAAATGAGCAGGCGATCAACCACATAGAACTGCAGTCCTGGCCTTGGGTTGGGTGCAAATGATTATTAATTGTGACATCGGATCTTCTTAATTACAAAAGGTATATATTTATTTTGTTACTAGTAGACAACATTGATATTTGGTCTTGCGTATCCTAGGCCATCGATATCTCACTCTCTTATGTGAGCCATTGAAGGATGCTGGACAATTATTATGAGATTATATTACAATATCCCTAAGATATATATTTTTTCTGAGACCCAGTTACAAACGCAGACGCATCCGCATGACTCCATATCTTTGATTTCATTATTTAAAATCCCATGTTTGACTTCATGTCTAAGTCTGATATACAAAATTAATTGAAACCAGGGTAAAAAGATTCACCACAAGGCCTATAAATACCCAGCCTTGGCTTGTCATTCTTCCCATCCCAATAGCCCACTTCACAGTTCATACTACCAACTGTGTTTTAGTATACTCAACCCTCAGAGCCCATGGATCCCAAGTTCAACGGCGACTGGAGTGCCAACGAGATCGAGATGGTGAGATCTATCATCGCTAATCACGACGCCAACAGCAGTTGCATCAACAACAGGAATGCTAAGCACTATGGCATTGTGGATAAGCTCCACGCAAGGTTCCCAAGGAAGGATAAGCGTCAGGTAATTGACTTGTATGTTGATCTTGTGGTGGAGATGCTAAATGAAATAGAGATGAGAAGCAACCAGCTGCCTATGATGGTGAGCAACGACCTTGTGGTCAACAATTTTGGAGTGATGGTGGAGAACCCAGGCGTGCACAGCATGGATGTGTTTACTGGTTACTTAACAGATGAGATGAAGGACAAGAGGATGGTGGAGGAACAACATCACAGGAAAGTTGTTGTTCCTCAACAGGACAAGCAACGTGCAAGGAGGTTTTGGACTCTGGAGGAGCACAGGTACGTCATTGATCTTTGCACTATTTTGGAAATTCTTGTTTCTTTCATCTTAACTATTAGTACAATTATTAGAAATGTGGTGAGGAGTATTAATTGATTAGCCCGAGGCACTAAGATATGATTTTTCACTTATCACATGAGATCTCTATTGTTATTTCACTAGTTTATGCTGAACCCATGTATCTCACTACAGGAATTTCCTACTTGGCCTGCGTGCATATGGACGCGGTAATTGGAAGAACATCTCTAAGGACTTCGTCACCACTAAAACGCCAGTGCAAGTCTCCAGCCATGCACAGAAGTTCTTTCGTAGGCAGGAGAGCACCACAAAGAAGCAGCGCTACAGCATCAACGACGTCAGCCTCTATGACACTAAGCCATGGGCGCAGGACAACTCCTCTACCTGGGAGGCTTTCACTAGCAATGCTTACAACCCATACTCTTATGGCTTTGGTGGCCAGCTCGCTTCCATGGACAACCTCACACAGGTTTATTCTCCCTTCCAATGCCCTGCCAGTCAGGCGAGCAGCAGCCAGACAATCACCTGGAATAGAGGTCAGCAGACACCGAGTCCTTCTTCTGCAGCTCCAACGATGGAGGAGGATGGGAGCCAAATGGAATGGACCAGTTATTATTAGCTTGGAGATTTTGTTCCTAAGTGGTGAATGGACATGAACAACATAATGTAGTAGTTGTTACATATGGTTCATCAGTATATCCTATGATGCATGGACACCTATCTCGTTGAAGACGATATGTATGGTAGTTTTAAGTGTTTGTACCTTCAAATAGTTTCATTGTCATGCATTTTGCAATGAACTAGTATCAATGTGGTTCCATTATATGTATGTGTTTGCTGGTCTGTGTTAATTATATATATCCTTGTTTGACCCCATGTTCTTTATTCCTATCTCAACTATGTTTCCTCATTTGTGTATGTTTTACTATGACATGTTTGGTTAATTCATCAGACAACAAGATTGCCAAAGAATTTAACAAAGGGAGACATACAACACCATGATTCCATTGTGTTTTTGTCTATATGTAATCACAAAATCTCTTTATGATAGGAGTATGAACCAGTTAAATCCCATTTCTAATTGAATCCACTTCTAGAAGGAAGATTTGAGATCCCATAAATATGAGATAACTCATTGAAATTAAAGGAGTGGACCTAGATGCATCCTGTCATAATAGTCAAGCATAGATAGGAGGGAATCCCTAAACTATAAATCCTCGTGTTTCTTCTTCAATACCCACAATCGGTGTGTATGTATTTATTAATTAGTATTTTATCAATCTACTTTCCATTTTTTGGCAAATTCATGATATCCCCTATTTGAACTCAACCTTATTTTCATGTTGTTATCCTACATGCCAGTGTGAAAGCTAGAAGAGATTGGGTTGTTTCCTTACAATTTCATAAAATATTTGTAAACATATGGTGTAACGACCCAGTGTGCACTTGACACATAAGCATGATCATCATGGGCATTGCATCGTAAAAATCCATATTTGCAAACAGTATATATTATGCAATGCTAAAACTAGTAATTTTGAGCATTGGTGAATGAGTCGGCTAGAGCTGACTGATGGTCTGGTGGTTGCTTTGTCATTCTATTAGCCAGAGTTGTGCTCTGACAGATAGTCCAATCGGGACATTGGATATTCACCAGAACATGCTGGCGGCTTGGTCATGTAGTTTGTGAGGTGTCTGTATCACCCTCTCCTTGGACCCACATGTCGGTATGAGTGTTGCCACACCCCCATAGCAACACCAACGATGCACCTCCACTCTTACTCTTCCCAAATACATCACACCTCTTTTTCTCTAAGCAAGGAAGGAGAAGGAACCAAGGAACAAGAAGGTAAAAGGATGAGGAAAAGATAGGTGAAAGGAGATCCCCAAGGGCAGCAGCCCTATATCCCTAAGCCTCTCCCATAATTCTAGGGTGAAACTAGGAGAGCTCCCACCCTCTAGCTTGTGGGGAGGAGCAAGAAGAGAAGGGGAAAGAGGAGCCAACCCAATCTCTCTACACCAACCTAAGGCCCTACACTCATTTTCTTGAAGAGAAAGGGTAAGCTCTAGCACCCAACCTAGATAGCATCACCTAGAAGACCATTCCCAATCGGGACATTGGATATTCACTAGAACATGCTAGCGGCTTGGTCATGTAGTTTGTGAGGTGTCTGTATCACCCTCTCCTTGGACCCCACATGTCAATACGAGTGTTGTCACACCCCCATAGCAGCACCAACGATGCACCTCCACTCTTACTCTTCCCAAATACATCACACCTCTCTTTTTCTCTAAGCAAGGAAGGAGAAGGAACCAAGGAACAAGAAGGTGAAAGGAGGAGGAAAAAGATTGGCCAAAGGAGATCCCCAAGGGCAGCAACCCTATATGTCCCTAAGCCTCTCCCTTATTTCTAGGGTGAAACTAGGAGAGCTCCCACCCTCTAGCTTGTGGGGAGGAGCAAGAAGAGAAGGGGAAAGAGGAGCCAACCCCAATCTCTCTACACCAACCTGTTGGCATTTCTAAACGTCGTTACCAAGAATAGAGATAGAATCGTTTTCTAGCAATGGCGCCTTAAATGCTTGTTGGTATTTCTTAGCATAAGCAGAAGGAATCCGCAAGTGCACGGATATACCATTGTAGCACTTCACCCGAAAGTATTCAGGGTATCGTATTTTTCCAAAGGAACGGATGTGTAAATGTCTCTTAGCTAGTTCACCTAAGAAAAGAAGAGAAGGATAACTTGGGTAGTGAGGTTCTCCTAAGGATAGAGACCTTAAGCGAAGATAACTTTGTCACTACAAACTTGCTTCGGGCACCGGATTGCACCTGGTCTACCAAGTGATGCCAGCCTGTAGCTCTACACCGAACCCAAACATGGGGGATTACAAGAGACAGACAGGGCTGTCACCACCTGCCTCCTACCCCTCAACCATGAGGGACGAGGCAAAGAAGGTAACTTCGAGCTCAGACACCACGTCTACGCTATCGGTTACTACTCTAGCGTTGGCTAAGAACTTCCGTCTTTATCGGGAATCCTCTACTAGAGCATCCGCCAAGGGGACGGACGATGAACTCACAATTTTATAATGATCAAAGATAACTTACTTAAGAACTCAATACCAAAAGATGAACACGAACTTCTTACTCCAAATAGTAAGATGAATGTAGAGGTACAAGTGTGGAGGAGTCAACTCCGGCACTCCTTCCGCTAAGTGTACAAGTGCACCGAGTACACTTGTCGGGTTCATAAACTCGGGGTCCCTCATAGACCGGCTTCCCAACAAAGGCTCAGCCCAGCAGACAACGTTGCGAACGACGCGTAACTCTTAGGCCGGCCCAAACACCTAAATGACAGGCCAGAAGGACAATCTAATCTCCGACCGGAAGGCCTGACCGAGGAGGAACGGCGCCCGCTTCTGACTCTGGTCCGCCTCTCTGACCGGAAGGCCTCAATCCCAACTCCGGCCTGCCTCCGGACAGCCTCTCCGACCGGAAGGCCTGGCCAAACACCACTTCCAATTCTGACCCGCCTCTTCGACCGGGGATACGCCAAACCCCTTCTTACAGCTCCTCTCCGACTGGCGCAATCAGAGCCATCTAGGACCAACCGACCAGGGATGCCCGCTCGGTAAGGACTGGGAAACAAATGGAGAAAGTAAGGCAGGGCACTCAAGTCAAACCGCAATACCAAGGACCGTACCCTATACACCTACAGGACAGTACCTTGTGACCTCCCTGGCATGACAGAACCCAAGCAGTGTTGTAGGTGCCGACATTTTTCCCTACAGTGTTGTGGGCGCCATCAACTCCCATACCAGACAAATACGGTAAGGCTCCCCCCATGTGCCTCTGAGGCATCAACAGTGTTGTGGGCTCCGGTATTTACCATACCAGGCGAACATGATAAAACCCCTTGCATGCCTCTGGGTATCAACAATGTGGCAGGCACCGATGTCTGCCATACCTGAAGAAGATGACGCAACCTCCCACGTGCATCTAACACTAAACAGTATTGTGGGCGCCTACCATCATCTTGTACCCGCCGGCGTGGGCAGCAAGACTTAGCAGCATACGTACTCTCTCCCTCTCACTTGTAAGGCCATCCCCATCATCTATAAAAGGGGATGCGCTCTCTCCCAACAAAGAGATCGATCAGTTCACTAGTACACAACAACAGAACCACTAGGTTCAAACCACAAGCACACGCTCGAACACTTAGCACATAGCGGAGCTCTCATCACTCTTGGCCCCTCTGACTAGAGTCTGACCGGACCTCTTGTACCCCTATCTTTCTCCTTCTCGTTTGTAACCCCACTGCAAACTTCGAGCACCTGGGCTCAGGAATAAAGTCACCGACCGACTCAAACTGGACGTAGGGCACATTGCCTGAACCAGTATAAACCCTATGTCATTGAGTGCTAGGCCACATCCGATCACAACGTATAGCAAAACTATAAATATTTATGTGTTGGTCACTTTCTGCACCGACAGTTGGCACCGTCCGTGGGGAAGACATTGTACATTCACACTTTTTGGTCATCGGATGGCCCATTTTTCTACCACCTTCGCCATGGCGGGCTCAAGCGATATGACTCGCTTTGGCTCACTGGAGTTTCCCGCACTCCCACATGTTGGGATGCAGATTCCACCCATCTTCGAGCCATCCCAGGCCTTCCTCTTTGGAAGTCTGGACTTCGTCGCCGACCGGCTCGGCATACTACACCTCCACAAGGAGGCAACCAACCCGGTGCCCGTCGGAGGTACGCCCTCCGTCGACTCCGGGACACCCAATGACTTCTTCGACGAGGCGCCTACGCTTCATTCTGAGCAAACGCTCTGCTCAAACCCCACTGTGAGTAACGTACATACTGTTATTTACTCACTATTTACTATCTTCCGTCGATTATCTGGAGGGACCCCATTGACCCTGCTGTGACCGCCATGTGATCGGTTCCCCTATGGACTCGCGTCCCCCATGGATGCATGCGCTCGAGGGCTTCGAAGGATGCCGGCGTCGCCCCCTCTCACGTCCGAATTTGTGGGGATGGTGAGCTATGCTCCCACCTATTTCCTCGACCTCATGGATGACAACGTTGAGAGTGACAGCTCCAGCATCGGCGACGTGGCACCAAGCCACCGTCCATCCTGGGAGTGCGCTGTGGCGGACACTCCAGGACAACCGCCGGTGGTAGCGGAGTCCACGCAGACTCACACCCCTCTGGACCCTCGTGTGGGGACCCTCACGCTCACATGAGAGCACGGCAAGGAGCTACGACAACGGCGGTAGAACTAGCCGCCACCTGTGCCGGCGCGCTCGGCACACCACACTGCGCCCCGTGCGCATAAACCGGCGAGTGGTGCTTAAGGTCATGTCCGCTAGGTCTAGCGCAACATCATGGACGGGGGGAATGATCCCCCACAGTTCGCTTGAGCTGACCAGAACATCGCTGCTGTGGCAATGCTTCTGCGTGGCCTTCCTGAGCCGAACGAGCCCTAGGAATAGGCAATCCACCAAAACCTCCGAGCACTGGTGGAAACCACCACCGTTCAATAGGCGGAGAGCTCTGCATCACGACACCGGCTCGCGGCCTCTCTCCCCACCAGGGGAGTGGGGACGCA